CTAGTGCAATTTCGTTAGCAATGAGGTAGCTAGCTTTCACTGCAGCATCACTGATGTCTCGGCTGTGAGTAAACACAGACTGCTGTTTCTTCAGACCCGCCAACAGTTCATTCACCTTCTCTCTTCTCCGCTGTCCTTGAAAGTTGTCATATTTGTCGGCATGAAGACTCACATAGTGGCGACGGAGGTTATATTCTTTCAGCACTGCAACATGCTGGGAACACACCAAACATACAGCTTTCCCATTCACTTCCGTGAATAAATAGGAGGATGACCATTTTTCTTGGAACACTCTGCACTCTGCATCCACTTTTCTCTTTTTTTACAGAGACATATTGGGGCAATGAGGGTGCCAAAGCACATCAGGTTTAAATTTCGCGGGCAAAACAAAGTAGCTCACAATTGCTATTGCGCCATCCAATGGACACAATTGGAACAGCAGTTTCTTTATTGAAAAATTGCTGCTCAAATTTTATACTTTACAAAATCATCTCACGGGCCGGATTAAACCCGTTTGTGGGCCTGATCCGGCCCGGGGGTCGTACGTTTGACACCCCTGATCTAAGTAATCACACGTGACACTGTTGCTAATACAGCTGCATTGGCTCCCTACTGAATTCAGTCCATTTTAAGATTCAGGTTCTGACTGCTCTTCTTGGACAAGCATTAGCTTACATTATTGAACTTCTACAATCCTATGTGATGCCTACAAGTAATCAGTTGTAAATATTTAGTAATGTAAAAGGCATTGCGGTATTGCCCTTTTAAGTTAAAGTGATGAAGATGTAATTGCATGGGATCGCCACAAGGGGGAAGTAGCTATGAGTGCAATAGGCCATTGCAACGCTCTCGTACCTCAGACAAAGAAAAGCCTGCAGCCCAAAAGCAACTCATATTGGAGGCTGTTTCTCAATTCTCAAGTAGAGAACACAAGTCCATACTCGTGTTCTTGCTAGTCCGGACTTTGTAAGTTTGCACGGGAGTGCAAACATGAAAAAAATTAAACATGATGTAGTACATTTGTTAAGAAAAACATCATAATTTAGAAAAGTATCGTAAGCACTTTGGCAAAATTTGCTTTTATGTATCATCTGTTTCATAATGTCTATTAGGCTTCATACAGTTAAGCACAGTCACTACATGACTAAAACACAAGCTTAATCTCTCTATGAATAAAAATAGTATACACGTTTGCCTCAATAGAAACAAACAGTTGAGATGTTAGAACACTTTTATATTTATTTTAGTAGACACTCAAAAATTACAATAGACAACTGCTGGGGTTTGGAAGATAATGGAACAAATATTTAAAATATAATGTGATCATTTTTGGAGCAGCCTTCAGAATCTCAATGTATTAACATGTCGTTTTTGCTCCCAGTGAAAATGTTTTGTATTGAATTTAAATATCTTAATGTTAGATTTAATTCAGCTGTTTAAATAATTTTACATCAGCGGATATGACGTGTGAAACTCAAAATATATTGACAGCTCTGACCGACCAGTTTATTTTGTTTCCCAGAAACAGTAGTATTTCAAACTTTTTAGCCACTCTCCTCCACCATTGCCACATTTGAGTTTTGGATGAAATGCATTCTGGGATATTTGGCTGCACCAGGTCCACACAAGTCACCACTGATGTATGCTCAATAAAACGGGAGGAGCAAGGACACATCCGTGAATTTTGAGCGTACTTGGCTTGATGAGTACTTTGAATTGAAACAGTACTTGGTCTGCGACTGATGAAGTATCACAAGTGCACGAGAACACACAAGTGTGCATATTGAGACATGGCCTCCTGTCTCTACTTTTCTGTATAAAACAGGTTAGTAGTTCGAGTTAGCTAACTGCGATGCGCATATAAAGGAAAGAAACCTTTTTCTGACGTAGTTTAACCCTTTAAAGCCGGTCGGAGTGGGCATGCTCTGTTTTGCTAACTATTTTTAAATCCCTGTAGAACCGGGAACCACGTAAGCTAGCACAATAATTTTTTTTGCATATGAAACCGGAGGAGTTGTACTTACATCTTATGCCATCAGCTTGTCCTAGGTCACGGTTTCTATCCACATATAGCTTTGTAAAAATTGCATAAAAAGCACTTGCAGCAACAGAAACATAATATTCCAGAAACAGCTTTGCCGATCCGATCAGCTGTTCATAACACTTCCTATGTTGGAATAAATGTCAGTGTGAACTATCGCATGTCGGCCATTACCTGCCCGAAACCGGAAGTGATGTCATTTTTGCAAAAAATGTAGTTTTTTTTAGCCTCGGGACCTTATAAGCCTATACTGGTGTTTTTAAAAGTTATGTTTGACTTCATGCTTTTCTGAATAGTTTCTGGGATGCTTAGAACTAAAACTGCACTGCTGGAAATAGTTTATTTTGATGTACATGCTGGTTTTTTTTGCAAATTTGCATTTTTCCTGCGGTATACAGAAATTGGTGTATCTCAAAAACAAACCTATGAAGACACTCAAAATAAATTTCCTGTTGTTGGAAACTATTTTGTACATCTTTTTTGTATTTAAAGTTTTGAGGGATAAACCTCTTAAATTTCTTTAACCCTTTAGAGCCGGTCGGAGCGGACACGCTCTGTTTTGCTAACTATTTTTAAATCCCGGTAGCACTGCAACCACGTAAGCTAGCACAATAATTTTTTTTGCATATGAAACCGGAGGAGTTGTACTTACATCTTATGCCATCAGCTTGTCCTAGGTCACAGTTTCCTTCCACATAAAGCTTTGCAAAAACTGCATAAAGAGCACTTGCAGCAACAAAAACATAATATTCCAGAAACACGCTTTGCCGATCCGATCAGCTGTTCATAACACTTCCTACGTTGGAATAGACGTCAGCGCGAACTTTTGCATGTCCGCCATTACCTGCCCGAAACCGGAAGTGACGTCATTTTC